GCAGACCCAGGGCTGGTTGGCCTTTCTTTGCAATACGAGAACAGTGTTAAAAAAATTGATTTAAAGGGTTTTTATCAGTGCTGTAACTCTAACTCAAATTCATTCCTTCATTCCATAGTTAAGCTGAAACACCTCAAACCCAAAATCAGAAAAAAAAACTTGGATTTTGGTCAGATGTTTTGAAATACACCAATAAGAATTCATTATTTTGGATTAACAGACAATTTCCTTAGTTTTTTGTTTTGTTTTTTCGGGTTCTTACGGCACTAGTGGCTCATTGTTTGAACAGGAAAGGGGGAATTAGACAGAGGGAGATGCGGCAAAGGACCACAGGTCGGATTCAAACCTGGGTCGGCCGCGTCAAGGACTAAAGCCACCTTACATGTACATGTAACCACTGCGCCACCAAGCATGCCCACAACTTACTGAGTTTAAATTGAATCTGGGCTCTAAATGATATAAAAGCCCATTTTATGTTACCCACAGTACCATGTTTCTTGGATTTAAATTGGAACACCAAAAGAAAACTGAAATCTAAATAAGTAATTTTTTCTTGAATTGAGGAGGTAAGTCAGACTATTTGCAAATGGAACAAAATTTTAAAAAAGTTTAAAAAAAAAAAAAAAAAAATCCTCTGGACTTTCTTTATAAGCTTGAAGATGTTCCACTTTCCATCCAGGAAGCTTTTTCAATTCAAAATGTCAGAGATAGAGTGGACCAATTGAGCCTTGTTTTGGCTTAGACAAAGGACATTATTTTGAGGACCAGAATGTTCATACTTTTGGACAAAGAAGACAGGTGGTTTGAGAAAAGCGTGAAGGAAGCCATCTGTGTTAAGAAAGAAAAACCAACCTTAAACAGAGAGGGGGGGACTCAGGTTTCAGCTTTCAAAAACCTACAATGCAGTGATAGAGTTGATTCCTTCCCGCTATCATCTCAGCCCCAACCCCTTTACAGGAGAACAGAAGACCTTGCCTATTCATCGAGGCCAACAATTCCCTTTAACGACCCCCCTTTCAGAGACATAGACAGGTATGGGGCATTGCAGGCTAACAAAAAGCCAAACGACCCCCATTCCAAAGGGGGGGACCCGTTCGTCTGTTTTTATTTGCATATTTTTTAAGCAAAAACAAGGCTTTGATGGGCTACTGTATAAAACTTTGAACTCAACGCTATTTCTGACATGTTGAACTTAAAAATTTTCCTGGATGGAAGAGAAACGTCTTCAAACTTGGAAA